TGATGAACTAATGTTTCAACATTGGTAACAAATCTTTTGAAAGTTGCGGGATTTGCCCTGAAACAAGTCAAAAGTTTCCTCTACTCTTCCAGCCTGTTCAATTTCTGATAGGGTGTCAACATATTTGGCAACCATCTTGCAGTCAGCTTTCTCATTCTAAAGATATTTGTTACGACAGCAGGCACTTAACCATAACTGCTACACATAGTCTTAGCTATTTGAGAAATAGATAATATTCCATCATTCAATATCATTCGGTGAATTGCTTCCCCTTACTCACTTCACGCCGAAGATTTTGGGCGTCCAGACCGTGGCTCCTCTTCAGTGCACTACCTGCCTGTCTTTATATTCACAGCCCACAGTGGAATAAGAAGGGGAGCCCTCACCAAGTGTCTCAACCATAGCAGCATGGATTTCCTTGAGAGTCATATCCTTTTTCTGAAGACACAGTGTCACAGCTCGACTTTCAAATTTGTTCATTTTTAGAAATTTAGAACCAAGGTCAGTTCAATGAATCCACATGTGCCAATAATTAAAGCTGGAAACTTGAGACTTGGCAGTGACACTTGCAGCATATGATACTTTTATAAATTAATCTTTTCTCTTAGTTCATTTACTTCTTGATCAGGTCGAGAACATTTTTATCCACCCTTTTAATGTCCTTGAAAGAATCACAACAACGGAGTGTGGTCATCTCACTAGTCTTTGATTCAATATTTACACCACATGGCTTCACCGCTGGTGATGTGATTGTCGTTGTCTTCTCAAAACATGTTGAAGCAACCGAAACTTGCATATTTATGCTTCAATGATGGCGCTTTATCGTTTTTCGGATCTTCGAACCCGCCCGAAGTCTCACGGGCATCTCTAGTCCGTTTTCTCTTCTGGCTAACGGGAGCAGGGGGAAATGACTCTACCTCACTTTGAATAGAGTCTAACTTGCTACCAAAACTATGTCGTCGGTGACAACCGAGACGGTCAACACATTCAACTGGCAAGTAGTGTGGGTTTTTTCTTTCATACAAATATGAAGTGGTTTAACAACTGATGACCATATTTGTTTTCTTTCCCTGGTGCCAAGAAGACTATAACTCTTGGTTTTGCGGAAGGATTATGGAATTTCCTGTCCCTCATGCGTTTTACTCTATTGGGCCAATGAACCAGATATTTGGTGTGGCTCATGACAGGGGTAAATACACTGCCCGAAGTAGCTTCGTTTATGCACTCCACATCAACCGGGATGGGTAACACAATGGTTGATATCATAAGTTGATCTCCAGAGCAATGATACACATCGCAGTTGATCGGATCTGCATCGCTGGAGACCGAAAGTCATGTCAACCTTGTGGAGAAGTACTTCAGACATTAGGTGTGAATTCACCACTCGTTGCATCAATATCTCCCTCCTTATTTTGCGACCTACCGGGTAATCTTACCGGCATGTACAACAACTGACACAGCTGAAAAGCAAGGTGTTACCAGTTGCCAGCATTGCGTACTGCTCTGTAGTCAGACCTGTACAAAGCTGGCGGCAACAGTGGTGGCAGACATCTCATTGCATGCCGCCGGATTCGTCAGTTACTGGCGTAGTACAGCTTGAACTTCCACACACTACGCTAGCCTCATATCCCAAGTCACCAAAAACAACAACAACAACAACAACAACAATAACAACAACGTCGATACCTTGTGACACCAACATAATGGAAAGCAGTGGTTGAGAAAACAGTCCTATGGAATACCGAACAGTAACTGCTTGCAAAGCAGACAACGGAAACAATGACCGAATTCAAAAGAATGTAACACGGATTAGCGAAACAAAAAATATCAAACGATGACAGCCCAGGACTGACAGCGACGGGCGAAACGCTTGATTCAGTACCACTTTTCTCGATTCAAGTTGCATTGGATTTGAGAAAAATATTGACAAGTCCATTGTTATTGTACGTGTTTATGCAAACGCTGTTTTCCCCGGTGTTTCAACTAAAAGATCGAGTTACCGCCTCAGTCAATTGCAAATGTATCCTTAATCTGGCCTAATCTTGCTTGGAGGATGTTGAAGTAGCCCTCCGAAAATCAAACCGAAGACTGGGCAGCAATCAGTTCCAAGCAACTATCACGGGTCATTTTGAACTACTCCTTGCGTGAATGGATTGCGACGTACAATCTCAGTGTGGACCACCAATAGCATTGGAGTGAACCTCTGGCGAACAGCGCACAATATCCATCTGGTTTGACCACAGTTGACTGGTCTAACAGCAGACACTACAGGTCGGTGTTAAGTTAGTAACAGGATGATAGTGTGGCGTTAGCCTGCGTAACTAGTAGTTACTTGGCCACAACTGTGAGACCGATCTTCTTCTGGCCTTCTTATTTATTAGGTACTGGTTGAGTGGTTTTGCACGACTAAGTTTATCATGAGCTATCAGGTACCACAATACCATCTCGCTTGCATAACAATATCCGACAGCTAATGTTGTTACACCATAGCTAATCCTGGCTGTAACGTTTGACCAAAGGTTGGGCGGCCATAACTCCACCTCAGCCAGGCTATCAGTCCGATAAAAGATTATAATGGTTTGCATGTTGATCCATTGGCAAGAACATGGCTAACTTGATCTCTGTAGCAACTGAGCGCGACAACTTTAAGTTACTTTATACCCTAATTACTAGCATGTGTTACGATCGATGAATGTCATGCAGTTTACACGTTTGTGACTACATAGTATGCGTGGTATGCAAACCATCGATTCGAATGTCTTCAGTGGCTGCACCAGTGCACATTCTCTCTGTCAGTCGGAACCTACAAGGTGTCAATCAACGGTGCATGAATGTCTCTCGCAGTTAACTTTAAGCGCAGTTGTTCGCAACAAACACACTTATATCGATTAATCCATCTTGCATGCATGATATTCTAACTGGAAAAAGAATACGCAAAATTTGTCCGACCCGAATCGACTGATCACCGAGGCTGCTGGACTCGGAGTGTCCATAAGTTGTGGCTGATTCGAACAGAGTCCCATCACTTTGTAATCGAGGACGGAACATTCACCCTTCTGGCTTTTGGCTGATGTTATTAGCCTCTGTGTGGAATGGGATTAGTAGTGTCATAGTGGTCAGATGATATGGTCGTCATGATGTATTAAGCGCGAGCCATAGCACTGAAGTGTTCTGAATACTTGAGATGGCTTGTACTGTTTGTGTGTCTGTTCGCTTATCGACAAGCCACCTCAGTCGCACAGCCGGCTGGTCACTCGTTCTTCAAAAACATACGTGATTGCTGCGTGGTGACAACAAATGCACTAAGGAACACCAGACGTGTTAATTAGGATGCAGCTGACTTGAATCCTGATCCGTCATACTAGATTCTTCTCGGTACACGATCAATTGATTTCATTTAACTATGCACCTGTTGCCGTATGTATCGTTGGCATTTCTAAGTGTCAGCGATATGGCTGAGCTCCATTCGTTCACTTCCTGACTAATCATGTGTCAGAATAGCTGTTCACGTGATTGTGATAGGCTGTTTGCTTCGCTGCTCAACGCACTGTATCTTCCCCAGCGGTAGGTTGTTCTGTAGCTTTGCGCTAGTTTTACTAACGCGATACCCCAGTCACCCCCTCACAGATGTGGTTCCCTGAGCGATCCGGGAAAACAGGATCAGTAAGAAAGGCGTGCACAGTAGATCACTGTTCATAAAAGTGTGCTATTCAGGCGACACATGTGTACTTTCTGCTAGTGTCGAACATGATCCAGACACTTGCTGCTTTACTCTTAATCGGATTAGGCATAAATAACCCACTACTATTACTACTACTACTATTACTACTACTAATATTACTACTACTACTGCTGCTGCTGCTACTACCACTACTACTATTACTACTACTACTACTACTACTACTACTACTACTACTGCTACTACTACTGCTACTACTACTACTACTACTACTACTACTACTACTACTACTACTACTACTACTACTACTACTACCATGCGTGCTGTGTTGTGTAGCCTATGTATCTAAGACAGTAAACTTGTTGAGCTAATGTCAGCCAGCGAAATCGTTGCGTGCGCCATCGTGGGACCTAATTTTATGGATGTATTACTTTTACCACTTCTTCATTCTACTCACCGGTTGATGGCTCGCTGCCCAAACATCCAAAAGGTCGTCATTGACACGTCCACATATTTTCCCTCCGCAACGACTTACCAATGGTGGACGGTGGTTGTGTGATCGCTTGGCTGGCTCCTTTACTAGGTAACGGTACAAAAGTGCAACCCACCTGTTAGTTCCGGCTGTGCTTCAATGGAAATTCGGTTTTCAAAAACCGAACTAGTGGGCCACAATGGCTGTTAGATTTCTACTTTCGCCAACTAACCATGCCCAGTCATACCATAATGTGCGGTATCTTTTCACCAAGACGTGTGTGGCCACGTACTGGAATTGCTCGCTTTCAGACGCATTTCGTAATATAGGTTTTCATCCCGCAAATAGATAGAAAACGGTTTAGAAGTCGGTGTTTCAGGAAGTGGATGCCATGTCAAACAACATTACTTATTAATAAGTCAGCGATGCTTTTGTTCGAATTTTACTCCGGAGTTTGCTGGGGAACACAGTCATCAAAGCAACAAGGCTAAACAACGCAATAAGTTCGTTTCGGTGACTGTGTTTAGCTGCTTTGCCGTCACACAAACCAAAAATGTATTGTTCATGTCTTCCGAGAAATACTGACTCCGTAATTACCGGGGCCACTGCAGATATCAAGCGGACCATTTTCATTCCTGCTTTGCTGAATAACAAACGTTCCACGGTTCCGGTCCACATTTCTCGAGTGCTGACAAAAGCGAGACAGCTAAAGATGACTTCCCAGGGATATTCGAACACATATGATTGTACACTTGATATAAACGCTATTAAAGCTTTTTGTTTTTTGTATTATCTAAAACTTCAAGACTTAGCCATCAAAATTCTCTATCCCTGACTTTCTTGTGACAGTTTCTCAGATCGCACTCCGCCCTCTTGGTACGAACACTGGAGCCTATTCTGTCGGCGAAGCAGAAAGAAGAACTGGCTAGCTGCCTTGTGAATATACACGAGAAACTACCCCATTTCAGTGTTGCGACATTTCTGGCTCAGCTACTCGAAGAAGACATCAGGCAAAATGGTGAGTCCATTGTTGGCTTTTAGAGCGAATCGATTGTTCTTTACGGTCAAACAAATTTTGATTAACTTTTGTTGATGTCTTAACTAGTGTTTGTTTCGGGAGATTGCAAGCGTTCAGTTCAACCTCGAGGTATTGAATCCGCAAGTCCCCACACGGTTGGACTTATCGCTGACGGGAATCTACTGCTCACCATACCACGTGATTGTCTCACAATCAAGTGCCAAGCTTGTCACTACTCACTCGAGGCGTACATTGTCAATTTTGGACGTGGGAAATTAGGATCCATTCAATCCATCTGGAGATTTTGCGAGTGGACGCCCGGCATCAAGACGTCACTTGTCATTTCACTTGACGTTCAATTTAAGCAGATCCGCCGACATCCACTATCAATGAGGCTGGCTGATGGCCGTTGCGTGACGGAAACAATTTGGAGTTATCCGCCGTTAAATTAGGACTGGTAGTCTAGTTCTGCGCTGTTGTGAGGACTCTGAACAGCATTTTATACAACCATCAATTGCTTATAGTTTCATGGAAAAAATACACCGGGGGCCAGTTTGAGTCGTAATATCCGTAATACATTATATTGTAATGGGATAGTAATAGGATAGTAATAGGATTGCACCAAGCAGACATGGTCGAATATACTTACTCTTTATTTTCTTAGTCGATCGCGCGTGCATTCTAGCAACGTACATAGGAAATGTGTGACGTTGAAGCATTCCGTTTCGTAGGCCCTCCGACATCGCACAAAACAGATTTCGAGTCGCAACACAATGCGTGCTTCGAAATGACTCTTCGAGTCAGTCATTACTCGTTATGAGAGGCGTTGCCCAAGGCGACTCGGTGGCTTAGACGTAGTCGCTTGGACTGACATTCCAAGGTCCCGAGTTCTAGTCGAGGTCCTGCAATCTTCACCTGATAAATGCAACCGAGTACGAAACCGCTCTTGGAGTGTAGTGTTTTCGGGAGGGCAACACCCAATGTTCAGTAGATGGGACCGTCCTTTAAGCTTGCTATGTGACGATAGCCAAATGACTATTGAATCCTGAAGCGCACAGTTAATAATAATATTGTTAATAATAATATTTCACCCAGCATCTAAACACCGTGCACACAAAGAAACGGATAGAATCTACATTTGCAGCGGTTAGCTTGTGCACAACGTTAATCGTTCACCCTGTTTTTGCGTCCGGGCTTAGAAATATGCCTTTGAACGGCCTTCCCAGCTACAGTGATTTCTCGACAAATCATTTACGAAAAGACACCGATAAACCCGTTGATAATCACTAATTTGGAATCACTTTGTAGTGGATTGCGACACGCAATCTCAATGTTGACCTCGATTCCCATTGAAGTGAACCTTGGTCTTTCGATCACGAGGACCGTAGCTGCTGCCAATAGAAATTAGGTGTTGCCCGCCCGTGTGCTTCAAAATGACCCTCAACCTCGTTCATTAACCCGTTGTGCCAAGTGTTGCCCGTCGTGACCCGGTGGCTTAGGGGTTGCCGTCACAACGAACATCCCCATGGTCCCGAGTTCGGTGCCTGCTAACTCTATCTGATGAGATGTTATAACTTCGAAACGTGTCATGGTAGTGCAGTGTTTTGGGGCGCTCAACACCCAATTTCTATTTGTAATGTAAAACAGTTTGCAGACACCATCTTTCACGGCCAACTTTTAATTTTATGCTGCAACTGGTTACTTGCTTGTAACAGCTGTTCAAGTAGAGGTAGCCGAATCCGTTAATGCAGCGGTTGCTATCAGATCTCTTTGACCCTACACCACCATGTTTCCTGGGTTGGGTTTTTTGCCAAGTTATGGACCTGCTGCTATTTTGTTTGAAGCACACGTTACGCTATTGGATTCCAACACAGCCTCCGCGTGGATCATCATTTGCCTCGTTCAACTCGATCACTGAGACAATGGCTGACGCAGGTGGGTGTTTTGCATCCGAGACAGTGCGCACTCCACGATAGGTTTATACTTTCTTATACCCTCCACGTTGGGAGAGCCAGTGAAGCTAGAAGTCGAAACCACCGACTTTGATATTCCCAAACAGACACACTCACTCTGCTAGGAATATTTGTCATAAAGATTAGCAATTTGTTGTTGGATTCTGTCACTTTCTCCGACAAATTTGTGCTACGTGCTCTAGCCTGTGACCGTCAAGTGACACCCTAGCGCAGAACAAACGGTGAATTATATCAAGTATTCTTTAAACTCCAGGAAAGACTAACCATATTCGTTCTACTGCAAGCCTCTTGTTGAACCATGTAATTTGCGCCTTCTTTTAATAACGGTGTTTTTATCTTGTAATTTTCAACCTAACCATCCTACGGGGATTTGTTTTTGTACCCGTTATAAACCATTTTCCGATTAATTGTCAATTCCTTGTGCGCGGTCGGCAAATCAAGTTCCACGTGCGGCTAACTCAAGCCCATAATTCCCTCGGGAATCCCAGTTGAACGGTTCTGTCTCTCTTCGCCTGATTCCCACAACCCCAAACATTTCACTTGGGTTAAAACTTCTACGTGCTCTAATAACCACCAGATCCGCTTGTCGAATGTCGCGATTCGTCCGCACTTTCATGTCTGAGCGGAGGTTGGCCAGTAAATAGCACGCACGCTTTCAGACATCTTGAAAAACGCAAATCTCATTACAACTGCTTGCGTAGTTCATTGCTTGATTACGTAATCTGCCATTTTCGTGATCCGCTCTCGAGTGGACACTTTTTCGCCTTGCTTTCCGTAGTGACGCACAAGTCTGCATTATTTTTTCCATGTTGGATCAATAAGTCTGCCCTGGGAAGCAGCCGGATTGCCTTAACAGTCGAGCAGCTTAGCAAACCGACGGAGTGATTCACCAACGTACTAGCATAAGCCTTATACCACGGATATCGATTTGAACTAAATATCAACCTCATTGGGATGATGGAAAGATGATACTGGGATGGGCGAATTCCTTGTGTTATTTGTCACATGTGATAGTGCGTGTGTCCTCTTACTTAAGCTGCAGCAACTCGCTTGGAGCGAAGAGGCCGGGCTAAGTTCGCGTGCTGCGTAAGATTGTTCGAAATGAATGCTCCGGTCAACCAGGGAAGTGGGGGAGCAGAGATCGTGATGTCCTTTGTTTGTTGTGACAATTTTCGCATAGCCAGCACTGATTATTTGAAGCGGGGGGTTGTAGATGGCATTTTATTTTTGTCCTCTTACTGTTAGTAGCACAATTGACTGACTGTTTTTTCTTCTCCTTTCTCTGCCCATAGCGGATGGAGCCATGTTACTTCGCTCAAATTCCACCGCCTCTAAGGCAGTCGAGTGTTACATCAAGCTCGTTGGCTCAGAGGTATGACAAACACAACATCTGCCTGCGGCTGTTGTTTTTACTTTCTAAGGCACAATTTGTTCGGTTTTGCTTAAAATTGTATCCCATTTTCGATGGACTGCAACTAGTTGAACTTCCGCTTAATGAGTTTAGGAAGTATAATTTTCGCATTTCGTACCTTCGTATTCGTAACTGTGTGACTTCCTACTTTGTCTGAGCATGAGAGATCAACTGAACATTATCAGCTTTAATGTTCACCGATTCCCTAAGTTGGATTCACTTTGAAAGCCTTCAACTAACCTTCCCAGGGGGTTGGAATAGACGCGACTTGCGTAGCACTACCCGGCATCCCTGGTGGCGGATCAGTGTGTTACTTTAATCTCCTTTCCAACGATCAGATCTCTGCCACGGAAGTTCTATCGTCAAGTGGTTGTATGTGTGTTTGCTTAATTTCACCGTGCACCGCCGTGCGTCAGAATTTACAGCAACACTTTTCTGACTTGGAACTAAGCGGTGCTACTTAACCAACTGAACGATTAGCTCACGGTGGCTCTAAGTTGACCTACTCTCAGCTTGCGGTTTTAGTGATAACCACCCGGACACATGTGTACCATCTGCCGGATAGTTAGTGCTCTCAACCTCAGCAAACTACGTTGCGGCGGCTGAGTGGTGAAATTGTCTACCGATGTTCTTCAACCCGGAGTTTCACTGCCCCCCCTGACAAGTAAACACAATAACGAATTTGGTCGTGGATCAAAGAACCCAAATCGAAGCATTAATCTACTGGAGACCGCGGTTTGAATCTTACTTGCATGTGATGGTTCAATGGTGTATGATGGGATAAAAAGCATAACTTTACAAGACCCACATGATGATGCATTCACACACTAGGTGCTCTTAACGAATAATCCAACCTCATCCACCTTCAATTTGAGACAATCTTAGAACCGTGCAACATCTTAATTGGGTCCCAACTGGCACAGGGTTTCGCACACCATCGGGATCAAATTAGCTGTCTCTGGGCGCATCGTTTCGGTGGATCACATCGCGACTCAATAGTTAAACTCCAAGCATAACTTGCTCCCACCACCCCGTGACGCAACCTGTTGGATCAGTGGCCAGAGAAGAATGCCTTTGACCAAACTTCTGTCAGAACGGGTGATCGAAAAGAATGATCCATCAACGTAACCCCACCAACAATGGTCCATATTCTTTCTCTCCCCATTTTTGTTCCATGTGTCCCGTTCCCAGGTTAACTCGCAAGTAGCCGCACGAGAAAGAAAGTTAGGGAACCTTTCATACCTTAGATGCAATTCCCCAATGAATTCTCTAAAATCGACGTAATGTTTTTAGTCGGCCAACGGGCAATGTTTGTTATGGATTCGAATTTCTCAGCGATTGTGGTGCGCTGCGTCTCCCGAAGCACGGATGCTAGTCAGTATCGTGGTGATACATCCGAAGCCACGGAACTCAGAGTTCAGTGGCGACTCTAATGATTCAAGAGCAATAATGTCGTTTACAACATAACAGCCGACAGTGCGTATAGTGCACCTTGTCGCTTGCACGCTGAACATGTGTTGTGCTTGTTGTGATTCCCCAATTCATTGTATAACAGAACTGGCTTTACCAAGAACAAATGACGTTACGGTGCCTATTTTCGGATGTCAACACACTGAGTACGGACTTCAAGGGCTTTAATTGCTTTTCACTATTGGAGTAAGGGGACTATTCACCAAGTTAAAATTACTAGTCTTAGAATGACTCTATCATGGAACGGATAGCTACCCAACCATCACCGAGTGCACACAAATGTTCGTTAGTTCTATAGAAGCGGGCGATTGTCCACCGCTGATCCACAAGGGCCAAGGTTCACAAACTTTACTTGCACCTTCCTTTTGTGCGTTGCAATCATGATCCGGTGTGATTGCGAGGCGTCACGTAACATCGACCGGTATGGGTGAGCTAAAGCACTGTAGACTGATTTTCCAGTCCATCGTGATCCTTCTCTAGTGTCACTTCTTCCATACAGCACTAGATACCAGGTGCTTGACTAGAGGCGCTAGGAGGTGTAACTCAGGTTGCCTTTGGTCTGCCTGTTCTCGCAGATGTTTTCTAGTCATTTGGGTCAAGGATCCAGGAAAAACTTGATTCGGACGAAGTCAACCTTACCTTTACTTAGAAGTCAACATACGTGATAGCACTCCGTTGTTTTCCCGTATCTGGAGGACATGACTTCAAGTTATTTGCGTGAGGGCTTCATTTTCCCCCTTTTGAACATTCACTACGTTGATTCCTGTTAACTTTAGTTATGACGGGCGTGCTCCTGGGTCATTTTGATTATTCCTCTCTATCCTTTCGCAGCGTAGTCACCGCGCGCTCATTCGAACCGGATTTACCAGCCCCACAGTGTGATCCATCATACGTGGAATAATCTCTTACGATTAAACCCCTCACCAACACTAACTGTTTTAACTGTCATTCGTGATTAAGCGCAAGCGGATAATTCAATCACATTGAGTCGATAGCCTCTCTGTGTGACCCCCTTCGACACAGAATACTTGAGACACTCCGAAAAGATTAAGCCTATTCCAATCCGATGTTTCTCAACATCGTTGTGGCGGAATTTGTGATCTTTCAGTCTGTGTTCAGCCTTGTGCTCAGATTTTGTCAACAGGTCCCAGTCACTCACCATTCTTTGTAACCTTGACAGCCAGTGCGTTTGCATAACCCGTTAAACGGGCCGCGCGACTACGCAGCCCGCCCCTTTGACCTTGTAACCACAAGGTTGGCCTGACCGATGTGTGCCGGTCTCAAAGCTGAAAGAATAAAGAAAGCCAATCAACCCACTGGATCAAGCAACGACACCACGTCGAACAGCGGAAATGCGAATCTAAAAGGGCTCCATACGAAGGGTATTTGCGGGTTAGGAGAATGTCATCGATTAGTTGAAATAGGTTGTGCTTGCTCTTATTCTTTGGAATGATATCATCCGAAGTGTGCAAATGTGTCCCAACAACAGGTACAAGAGCGAAATAGCTCCCAAGGTGTCCTTTGGTTCTGTACTGAGTGCTCGGCCATCCCGCTCGTTAAGTGTATACTTATCCTAGTTCGGAAGTGCGACTGGTTAACCGCGGAAGCCGAGCATAAGAAGAATGATAAGATTACTACCATGAAAGCGAGAATGCAGCAGGGAAGCGTAGTGGCCTCTAAGCAACGGAATGCTGCACAATTTGCTTTCCCCCGAACCGCAATCAGCCACGAGCCCCTTCTGTTATCTTCTGCAATTTTGTTAGAACGTCTGGCGAAAACTGATTGTAGCTACGACAGTCAAGCAGTACTCACGGCAACGAAAGTCAGGAACCACCCGAAACGTCTGGTTAAGCAAATTCCTTTTCCACCACACTATTCTGTCAGTGAGACTAGTCACAAACTAATTTCCATTTGCGATCGTCACACTCACATATGCGCTTTCTTACTACCATCAACTCTTGCTTTGTCCTCAGTCACACCTTAAAAATCCCGCTTTGTATTTCTTACAACGTACCCCAAAATTGATCCCTTACAACCTTTGGTGTAAAAACCCTATGTGATGATATGTGTCTCTTCTCTGTCAAACGTCAGTTGCTGCAGAATACTACTACGCAGCTTGAGTGCTCTGTGTATCGCTGGAATCAACCAGTCATTTCTAGTCTCATGTATTTTATAGGATGCAATGTTGTCGGATCAAGATTTTGTAGGCTTCCTAGACCATGCGTCTGTTTTCCCGTATTCACTTCCTTCAGCAAAACTGCCAAATTAAGGAGCTTGCAACCATTTTGTTAGGTTCCACTGTAACACCCACGACTATTTTCTGCTACGCATCAACGCAGTGACGACGTTATTTAGATTAGTGACGAAACGTTAGCAGCAATGTTGCCAAACTCAGCTAGAGCAGTTCGATTAACAAACGCGGTAACCACTTTAGCCATACTTTTAGGATGTCAAGTTTTTCCTAGTGTGTGAAGTTAGTGTTTGCTGTATTCACATTGTAAATAAATAAATAAATAAATAGTATATTCTTCGACGAGGCGAGGAGCTGTTCCCTAGAAACAACAGATCAAATAATGGTACAACTTTTCCATGACATTTCCTTAATATATTTTCAGAGATAAACATGAGCGCAATCGCAAATTAGGTTACACAGTAATCAGAATCGTTCTGCTATTTTTTTCCTGCCATTGAATCAGGATTCTTCACAATCACCTGACAGATATTTGGGCCGAGAAAAAAATGTAATGAAAGGGGCTGTTGTCCGAAATGTTATGTATATGTGCTTCGGAAATTTATTTAGACACCATGGATACCATGTCATGGATATAGTCGTAGGTGCTGTACATCGTTCGGTGTACGGGAATCCGATGTGGAGTGGAATCCGGTTGAAACGATTTGTTTAGATGGTCTGTTTATGAAAAATCGCAGCGCAGTCGGTCAAGCCCGAGAAAAGACCTGCAGGAATGACATTCTCCTGGTTCACATAATCTACGGCCAAATCTGTCACAACCCATAACTCCTGGTGGGGACTAATATTTCTGCAACTACCTCAAAGGTCGTGAATATCAATACAGGTTGTAAACATCTAAAATGCAAATTCAGTTCACATGAAACCCATCTGTCTTGACTACAGAGTAATAAAACATCAGTTGTATGCATTCTTGTTGTTGGTTTTGTTCCCGTGATTGGTCCTTGTGTGCGAACTAAGAATTGACTCTCGGATCTCTTTAGAGCACTTTATTTTATAACTAATAGCTAACTCGTCATGCACTTCTATGAAGTGAGGCTAACACTTATACAAAATCCGACTTCTGATTAATCGGACATGAGCTCATAGGGTAGGTTTTCTTCTTAACTGAATTTGTCGGGAAAAACAAGTTGATTGTTGGTTGTTTTAAGTAAACCATTCACATGTTCATTCGTACTTAGATTTTTAATTGTTTTGCATCTTTCACCAAGAACGGAAAATTTTTCCGCATCAGGATGGAGTAAATGACAATTCTATTATAGTGATAAGTAAAGGAGTTTCAATGTAATTAGTTCTGTCAACCTGACGATGAAGTGCACCATTAGTTGCTTTACCGTAAGCGGTGATTTGTCGAAGTGATTTCAGTGTAGCGTTTTTCACGCTGTCCACTCGGGGATATTATACGTATCAATGCAAACACTTTCAATCTAGACAGAAGACGTCTGCTTGACCGTTTGGATTCCACTACAAATCTTTTACACACTAGCGAGTACATGAAAGTCGTCCTCCCGCTGACCTCTTCGTTTGTGTGATATTTTCGGCTGTGATATATTATGTCATTTTCACTTACCGTAGTACATGATGGTGTTAAGCTACATAGTTTCATGGGGTTCAAATTTTGGTTTCCTTGACCACAACACAGCCCCGCTCTTTCTGTACTAGTTCTTGAAATTTAATGAATGTCAGAATTCCCCTGCTACCACTTCCTCCATTCCTCACAGTATTTGCAAAGAGTGTTGAAAAGCTTCATTGATCAGCTATTGGCTTCAACCGAAGATTTTGAAATCGATCCGTCACGTTTGAAGGCAATCGATTCCAGTGCATCTTCCGGGAAGAACGACTTCTCCGCCCAGATGGGGAAAAACTGCTTCTCTCTGCTAAAACACCTGACGATCATCTGGAGGAGGATCGTCGAAACCAGTGGCAGTTTACCAATGTAAGCAACCTATTTTTCCACTGGTTTTGATGTTGCTTAGAGAGAGCCCTTTACCGGTGCACAGAATCACGATCACACATCACTCCAAGCAATGTCTACATAAAAGAGGGGCAGACAATGCATGCCCTTAGCTCCTCGATCGCCGTTGATTAGATACTTCATCACCCTGCCAGTTACTTTACGACTAAAACACCGGCGCGAAATCAACACCAAATGACCCCTGTTGACTCGTTGGGCAGTGGCGCTTTCGGGAACATTTCTGTTGTTCCTTTGCACCCGGAGTGTTTTGCGCTCAGGCTTGTTATGTCGAACCACAATCTGTTCGTCGCATACTTTATCCGAGGCGTAGATACAAAATGTGCTCCTTGTCCTCAACCGTTTTCACCGTCCGGTCCGTGTTCTCATCTATCCTCTCTTATTAAGCGTAGGGACAAAATCACCTTAACCAGCCATCATATAGTATCAGGTTTGGAAGTAGGAGACCGTCCATGTCAATCGGTCGAATTGACCGCAATGTATACTTTCAGATCGGGTAAGCGAAATTTTTATTTTAACCTTCAGGAGCTTAGTCTCCGCACCGGTAGTGATGATGTTACTGACCTCTAGTTTCCTTCACCGATTTAGTGGGGGACAAGCATCCCGGTTGAAAGAGACAGACAAGTTTTCGATCAAAACGGGATTGGAGAATTTCGGAACTGCTCCCCTTCAATACTGCACTTCACATAACCGGATTGCATGAATTAGATTTACTTGACGGCAGATGTTCAAGCGGCGTTCTACGTACCGCTAGTTAACCACATTTCCTTCAACTTTAACAGGGCATTCGATTTTGTCGACTGCTCATTTCCGTTGATATACCTGGTGGGAAAGATGTTTCATGAACTTTGCTATTATTTCGAGTTCCACATAATCTAATATCACAGGTTGCATCGTTTCTGTGGCGGATTATCGGATACCTTCCTGTTAACAAACATCCTCCCTTTGAGTTGTCCTATTCCTCCGTTTCTATTCAATTTTGTCTGGGACTCCATCGTTGTGTAATACTTTCAGTCATGGAAGAAGCTGGTTAATCCAAACCAGGTAGACGACATCGCGAGGCTACACAGCCAACCGTGGACAAAATCTCTAGTGTGATCCCGTCCCTTGTAATGTGATTCGCACCTCAAACATACTACCTGATGTACTAGGATCACAAGGCACTTGCCATTCCCTTGAACTTCGTTGATGAAGAATTTGGGGTACTTGGTCAACCCAGTTGTCTTGGAAGCTGCATTACCAGTTACGGGTGCATAACGGTGGAAGATAGTTCACGCACTTCGGAAGCCAGAACAGTTTTCATGAATTTGCGGCAGTTCTGACTCAAGAAAGGAATCTCTCTTGATCTTGACCATTGTGTCTGCAGAAGTCCAGCATAGTCGATATCGTCTAAACCAAATAAACAGTCCATTCGATTTAGGAAACTTATGTAGCCTCAGCTGCTCGGACATCGTTCCCTACAGGGGATTGCCACTGTCGGGTGGCTTCAACATATCCGCAGTGATGAAACATGCAGACGAGTGCTACGTAGTGGTGATCGGATCTGTCCATGCGGGCGACAAATAACACTAAACAGTTTAATCGGAGTTGTACGCTGCCCGAGGCGTCTCCAGGTTGCGGATTAGGGAATGCCTTCCTTGTGGAGGTAACTGCGAACGAGTCTCGTCTACCTTGAAGGCTAGATGATTAAGCTGTCGCGGACAATCAGCGACAGCTTTTCAGAGTGTGGGGAGTTCTGGGCTGATCACCTAGTTCTCCATCAAATACTACAAGAGCTCCTACGGCACTGTGCCAAAGCCAATTTGATCGGCTGTAGAGTCATTGATCACTCGCGTCTGTAACTGGAAGTGAGCATTTAATGGAGTGCGGATGAACAACCTTGCTGAACACCGGCTTCTCTGTGGACTGCAACCGAACACAAAGCAGAGAAATGATCCACCTGGCTGGCAATGGTCTTCACCCAGCTGCCTTGCGGGCCAACAATTTAAGACCAAAGGCTCGGGCTAGGGTGCCTTAAATCAATCATTTCCTGGGTCTGGGCGACCGGGAAGCTCTATGCCCACACCACACATGGACCGTCGCATCCCTTGCCCTGACTTTCTCCTTCCATTACGTTGTTGTTACTCATGTGTTGTGGCAATTTGCCAAATGTTTGTAGATATATATATATATATGCATAGTCGTATTTTTATTTATATGTACATACATATATATTTCGTTGGCGGCATCCGGTTTCGGATTTGCCTGTCACTGTGGCCTCCACAGAACGTCTGCGCCTACAGAGGGACCATGGGTGGCTTGCGCTGCACCGCCCACAGCTCCAATCACACACCCATATCCAGTGTAAATCCGAAGAAATAAGACCGGGAGGCATGTGGATGGGAGCCACGTTTCATCAACGGAGCTGGCCCACGCTCCTTCACAGGCAAACACAAACACGCTGTATTTGGGAATCAATCGCACACAAGGCGGTGGCTAGACCGTAGTCTGCTCCACACACAAAATGTGTGCATGGAACCACTCTTCGAGCTTAACCCAGCCACGAAGATCGTTCACCCCGTCCCCACCAGCAACGACCAAGTGTCACCTGGAACCAGTATGGACGAGGTAGTGGATAATGGACAGGTAGGCACCTTGTCCCCATGCACGTCAAGCGCAACCATACCGGGGATGTCAAGCAGCGGCCAATCACACGAAACGTAATAACCAATAAAATAGATCGAAAACACCATACGGATTTATCGATAAATTAACATGATATAAATGGCTTAGCAACATACACCCGATACTTTGAAGATGACAGATAAACAGATCAAAAACGTTAGCAGAATAGAGAAAACAAAACGAAGTTAAGCAACTTTCGTTTAAGCGACATTCGCAATTTAATAGATTCTTTAGTCACATTAAAATGAAGTAAAATACGCATTAAGAAAAGGTAGCATACCTATTGCCTGAAATAATGCAACTCAACACTCAAGCGCGCGGTTAGGAAATCGAATGCAGCGTACCTACCAACGCCGCGCCGGTTCCGCTTACGTTCTCAGCACGACCCGTCGTCGTTTCGATGTTTGTCCCGAGTGGCCTCGCTCGTGGATAACTAGGCCTGCCTGACTCAGGCACTCGTAACCGCATGTGCTACAACACCATGCACTCGAGGTCGATGGAGTACAACCCATGGGCGACTGTCGCTTCCGCACTTGCCACTTCTTCTCCGCATGCACGCCGGCTTTCTCTTGCGCCTCGGCAACTGCCTTCGTGATCCGATCGCGCCATGCACGCCGATCAACCGCAATCGATTCCCAACAACTGAAATCAACATTAGAACGTGAGAGGCTCGCTTTGATCATGTCCTGGTAACAAAGCTTTGGTTTCCCCACATGCCGCTTCCCCAAACTCAGCTGACCATATAACAGCTGCTTCGGTATCCGGTTCGAATCCACACGCCACACATGACCGAACCACCTCAAGTGTCAGCAAAAGTATGTAGTGCACTGCATACGTTCTACTTCGGCGCAGCACCGTGACTGCAACTGTCGCACCAACAGATGCGCAGAATCCGTCGCAGACACTGTTGCTAAAACTGCTCGAGATATCTCACATCTCACCGTTACGTCGTCTACGTTTCGTTGTCGTACAGAAGAACGGACAGCACCATGTGTTTGCAGACCATCAAATTCGTGCCGAAGGTAAGCTGATGCATTTTCCACACTCGGTACTCAAGATTCTCGAATGCCGCCGCTGCTTTCGATACGCGGATACGCAACTCACTGTGTCCCTGCTAGTCACACGAAATCACCCTCCCCAGGTGGCAGAAGTGGGAGGTGGTTTCCAATACTACAACACCAATGCTGATTCGCGGTAATATTGAAGCTTGCAGCTCCGGTGAAGGTTGAAAGAGACAGACAGTTTTGCTTGTGTTGGTGGTGAGCCTGAATTTGGCCGCTGTCGAAGCCAGAGCACTAGTCATGTGTTGCAACTCATCCGCGCTGTGTGCAAACAACGCACAGTGGTCAGCAAACAGCAACATACGGATAGTTGTCTCACAGATTAGAGTTCTCGCACCGAAACGACGGATGTTCAGCAATCCACCATCAATGCGCTGCTCCACACGAACACCGTAAGCACCAGCGGCATCAAAAGCACAGGACAACATTGCATGAAGACATATATTAAACAGGGCAGGAGCTAAGACACAGTCTTGCTTTACACCAGAGATAACTGTAAAGTCATCCGAAGTCTATCCACAAAGCTGCACCCTGGCCTGCATACCCACTGTGCAAACATACAATTAAATTTACAAAATTACTGGCAACCGAACTTACTCGACACTAGTCGCAAACGCCTGGTGGTTCAACGTATCAAATGATTCGGTGAGATCAACAAGCAGTGGGTACAACGGCTGGTGTCGTTCTCTGCACTTCTCCTGCAACTGACGAGCCGCAAACACCATATCTATAGTGCTGCGAAACGAACGGAATCCACACTGCTGTTCCGTCACCTTCGGTTCCACAACCTGACTGACGAGGCGGTTGAGCAGGATTCGGGCAATCACCTTACACACACAACTCAGCAAGTGGATGCTACGGTAATTCGCGACACATTGCTTGCTACCTTTGCCCTGGTACAGTGGTAGCACAAGGGCATCCTTCAGCTTAGCAGGCACCTCCTCCTCAATCCATACGCGTTGCACCAAGTGGTGCAGCGCAGTCACGAACGCAGGTCCGCCATGTTTCAACACTTCAGGTGGGAACCCGTCGGCACCGGCACATTTGCCGTTTCGCAGCAGAACAAGTACTTTCTGCGTCTCATCCAGTGTCGGCATGTTCACCAGACTTGCCTTAACATCGTGGTGCTACAGGCCGTTCAATGTAGGGCAGTCGATCTCTGCACTGTTGTTCAAGATACAGTCAAAGTTTTTGCCAGATCTGCGTTATGTCTGCAGTCTGGGTGCAGGTAGCGCCTGAACTATC